GATAGATAGATAGATAGATAGATAGATAGATAGATAGATAGATAGATTAAAAAAACATGAGGGGAAAGAGAGACCACCTGAGCAGTTACTTTAACACTAAAAAGTAATTTGTCATAATACTGAACCAACATCATTAACAGTCATAACTTCAGGGTCAATCTCAATCTCTTCATGCATTTGACCTTTAAACTGTGAAAGAGTGTCTTTCTCCATAGCCAAAAGCACTTTACTCATCTTGGCGATTTGCAGTGTACGCTGTGGTAGACGGTAGTACTGACTGTGTACACAAATGTCAAGACCCAGAAAGTTGGTCTGCATAATTTTCTTGGAAATTAAGAACCTGTGACCTGGTTGGAATATGTTTCTGTAGCTTTGTGGATGTTAAAACCTCTGGATATGTGACACACCTCTCCCTTAAAAGCTTTTGTTTGCAATCTCTTCCTCTATAAGCTCCTTGTCTAGCAAACATGTAAACATTATCTTTTTTTATTTGTACTTTGGTAAAGAAGCTGTGCAATTTGTTCTTGTCACGCTGCTATGATTTCTGTCGGGTTTTGGTTGACTTTGTGTTGTCGTTGTGTCTAGTCAGTTCCGGTTTTATTTTGAAATTCTAATCCTCCTCTCGTTCCAGATCACTTACCCTTCCTCGCGTGCCACCACACTTGTCTCCCTTGATTTGTGATTGAGTCCACCTGTTTCCCTTTGTGTATATATAGTCCAAATTACCCATGTCCTTTGTGAGAGTGATTGCTACATTTGTGTAAGTGCATATTGTCCTGTCATAGTCCCTGGAACACTGTTGCTCTGTTTAATGCCCTCTTATGGGTACTGGTGGCCCAGTTAAAGATGTTTTGATACCTTCTAGATCTGGACTCTCTTTCTTTGGCATTCAGGACAGGCAAGTGACGGAGGGACCGGGCTATCGAGAGATCCTGGCCTAGGCGTTTCCCAGGTGGAGCCCACTTATCACTTCATCCCATAACTTGACTCCTGCCTTCCCCACTGACTCAGCTGCTGCTGAGGATGGACCTGTGAAGCTCGGAAGAATGTGCTTGTCCCGAGAGGGGCGACCATGCTGGGTGAGGGATGGGAGATACATTTATAGTGGAGAAAAGGGACATATCTTGGCCTCCTGCCCAGTAAAAGGCAAGACCAGAAGTAGAGGGCACTGGTGACTCGTACAGTGAATTGTAACCTCGTGTTTCATCGGAAATTGTGCATGCGTTTCTTCCCAGGTTTCCCCAGAGTAGTAGGAGCCATTGACTGCACTCGGATCCCAATCAGTGCACCTGTGGGAGCGCATGAAGGTAATTGTGTCAATCTAATTCTTCAGTTAACATTTCATGTCCCCACATGGGCTGTCTTGTTGGATAATGTGCATGCCAAAGCTACATGAACATGACTAACGTTAACAGAACATCTGTACTTTTAGATGACATGTGATCTCCATTACCCTCCCTGGGATGACGACCTATTGTGATGGAGGGCTTTCAGTGATCCTAGGAGCCAAGTTGTCAGGGACTTTAAGGCCCTGGTAAGGTCACCCAAGGCAAACGGGTCCCAGGTGAGGGATCAGACAAATGGACCAAGTGTACCCTCACTTGGAAGCGGGTCACTGAGGCCCGACTCTTGAGCCGGGCCAGGCGGAAGAGCAGGATGGGGAGCACCTGGTGGCTGGGCTTTTACCCATGGAGCCCAGCCAGGCTACAGCCCGAAAAGGTCACATGGGTCCCCTTTCCAATGGGTTCAACATTCATTGGCGGGGTCAGGTGCAGTGTGGAACGGGCGAGAGCCCTGGCAGACCTATCCCCGGCTGCACAAGTGGACTCTTGGGACATGGAATGTCGTCTTTACAGGGGTAGGCTCACAAAAGACAAGCCAAGTGGGCCCTCCTTTATCTATTTGAATTGTTTTACATTTGATGGTTTCATCTGATTAGGATGCCTCCTTGGTGAGGTGTTCCGGGAGAAGACCCAGGACACGCTGGAGGGACTGCGTCCAGGCTGGCCTGGGAACGCCTCGGGATCCCCCCGGAGGAGGTGGCAGGGGAGAGGGAAGTCTGGGTTTCCCTGCTTCGGCTGCTGCCCCCACAACCCAACCCCGGATAAGCGGTGGCGAATGGATGTATGGTTTCATTTAGACCTTGCTCAATCTGAAGCCTGATTTTCTGTCTCAGCCAGATGGCCACCTCCCTTTGCCTGCATTTTCCTGACGGTTTAAAAGGACATACCTGCTCACCTTCATCTCCTCCCCCTTAGTGTATTCTGCTTTGTCTCATTACCTGTGTACTGACCTTTGGCTTGATATTAAACCTGTTTTTGTAAATGGTCTTGGTTATTTTTTTTTATTTAGTCCAGCTGACCAAGTTGCTAAAGTTACTCACTTAAGTGTTATATGCTATCCCATAATCCATGCAATTTAATCATTCCTTTTAAAACTATACTCTTAAACTCTCTTGGTGTTTTTATAAAAAAAAAAAAAAAAAGCAATATGGCTTCAGCCTGAAAGGCACAGAAAGGGCTAATTGTGTGTGTGTGTCTATATATATATATATATATATATATTTTTTTTTAAACTAACGCATGTATATATGGTGGGGAACTTTCTAAGTGACATCTTGTGCATTTATGTACTCAAATAATAGGACAAAGTTGAGATAACAAATGTGCTTGTTGCAAATAAGACAATTCTTAGCAACAGAGGTATCTATTAAATCGTAGGATAGGATTTGGAGTAATAATGCCTTCCATGATCATAAATGGGCCCAAGGAAATGGTATTAGAGACAATTGCGAATTGCTTTAAAATGAGACATAAATTCACAGCAACTGAACAGTGACACTTATTAAATAGCTATCTAACATACATTACATTATCTTTTTCCAGTTGTCAATGCAGAGAGGCTTGTTCTTACATAAATCATCTCTATGCCAAATTATATATTTGTAAGGAGAATAGTTGTGCTCATAGATATAACCAAGATAACAAACATTGTTTGTGGAGTGTCGACATTTGTTCTGGATTAAAGTTAAATACTAAAAGTCAAGACCACCCAATTGAGAGAATATATAATGAGGTACTAAGGTCTAAAATTAAATGGGGCATGTCTGGTGTTTTGAGTTTTAGAGTATAATTTAAGGTAGAAACGTCTAGGAGATTGAAGACCCCCATTATCATTTGGGTTCATTACAACAGACCTTTTAATGTAATTATGTGTTTCGTGTACCCGTTAAGGGTTTCTAAATATACTTGTAGAAGAAAAGGAGCCAGCAGTTTGGAAAATAATGAATAAAACTCAAAGTTTAAATTATTCACTGGAGATTTGTGCCTGAGGAGTTCAATAGTGTCTACAATATTTAAAAAGATTGCCTGTTCACAGTGTCACTTTCATAAACTTTTTTAAGATTTGGAAGAGAATTGAAAAATTGTGCAGTATACTCACAAATATATAAGGAGCTGTAAGCCATAAACTATCAAAGTCAGCACAGAAAGAGGCTATTTTATAAACATTGTTGCAGACATATTCATTCATTTTATTGTTTGTATATGGTAATAGAATTAGACCGACTCTTTTCTAATATAAAAAAGTAAAACTTTGCTTACCCTTTTCTAACCATCTTTTTATAGATCTTATGAAGGCCCCTTCTGCTCTGACTTTCTATATTTCATCTAAGCTTTCATCCGAGTCTTTTATTTTTTAGAAATATCCTTTAGACAGATTCTTAAGTTTTTTCCAATTTCAAACTTCAAAAGTTTCCAATTTACCCCAAATATATTCTCAGTTTTAGCTTTGGACTAGATTTAAGTGTGTGGGACACATAATTACACTGCATTTCGAAAAAGAGTTGTTGAGTTTCGAAATTAAGAATCTTTCTATGCTGGAAATTTAGCATGGTGTGTCTGCCACAGTGATCTGTAAGGGGAGTCGGCAAGATACTAATAGTAGCTATTTCCAATGAATGCTCAGACACTAATAGGTACCAACATGCCAGCGGGAATGAAGGGAAACTAAAGACAGAGACGTGGGTACATTAACAAAGTGGGCGACATCAATGAAAGATACAAACATGTTCTTTTCTTGAGGAAAACCTTTCTTGTTGATTTGGCCAAATGTAAAAGTGTCTTGCATCTTGTTAATTTGTTTTCCAAAATGTAAAGTTGTTTCCTGAGCTATAAATTTGTTTTCTGATATGTAATTTATTTTCTTGAATTGCAATTTTTTCTTGAATTGTATGTTTTTTCACAAAACGTAATTTAGTTTTGTGAACTGACATTTTTTCTCCGAAATGTCCGTTTTTTTCTGAAATGGAAAGTCGGTCTTGTTTTATGTCAATTGTCAAAAACTTTGTAAAAGTGTTGGACTTGAATATATAGTTTCCGGATTGTTGGTTTGCACTTCCCGGCCACCGTACTTAACGGGGCATAAAGTCTTCTGCTTGTGCAACGCCCCTTTTGCCTGCCCGTTGAGACAGAAACGCTGAGGCTGTGAATAGTTTAGTAATTGTCCTAGATTAACTTCGTTATTATATCTGTCAGAAATAATCTGCCTAAAAATGTCGCAGTCTATCCTCGAAACGATGTCCGGAGCTTCGACGGGAGCTGCGGTGGTCACAAACCCTCTGAATTTCTGGGCTGGGAAACCATTTAAATCCAGAGAGGAGAAAAACGGAGAACCAGTGTTTGAGCCTGCAACTGGTGAATACGACATTTTCTAGCCTGGTTTAAGTTTGCACAGTTATTCTGCAAGAATAAATCTATTAAAACGTAAACGCTGCGAAAGTATGTATTGACATTCTAAAAGGTTTGTCTTGTTTAAATAACTCTAAAGTTTGGAAGTGGAAAAAAAAGAAATCATCCCGATTTTTGGTCGTCTGGTGGTAACTCTGAGATTTTTAATGTGTGGAAATAATAAAGCTTAAACAAATCCAAAGGACTTTTATTGCTGCATTCTGATTTGAGGTTAATTTTTTTGCACAGATTCACATTTGAAGCCATTTGTAACGTTGTTCTTATTTGTGCAGGTCGTGTTCTGTGTCAACTGGTCCCCTGTGGGGCTGAGGAGGTGGATGAAGCAATACGGAGTGCCCATTCCGCCTATCTGGAATGGAGGAAACTGGCAGGTTTGGAGAGATCTAGGGTGATGCTGGAGGCCGCACGCATCATCAGGGTGAGAAATCAGGCTGTCCTGCTCTAACAGTCTGCAGGACTGGAAACAGTCCAGTTTGCTGTTACGATTATGCAACATGGGTTGAATGGGACTAGTTGCTCAATAAAAGACAGGCGCCTGTTCGCTTCGTCTGCCTTTAGACACAATCAACCTTTTGTTTGCCTTTTTATATCACAGTTGACAAAGTTCATGTTATGTAAAGACATTAAATGACTGCAGAGGATAATTTCAGAGTAGCCCCAAACTTTTTTTCCTTTGTTATCATTGAAAACAGGAAAGGAGGGAGAATATTGCAAAGGTGGAAGTGATCAACAATGGCAAGTCCATCACTGAAGCTCTGGCAGATATTGATAGTGCTTGGCAGTGTATTGAGTACTATGCCGGGCTGGCAAGTACTCTTTCAGGTGGGTGCACTAGCACTTTGCTAAAAAAGATTTAAAAAGTTTAGGAATCATACGTTGGTGTTTGATCAACGGGTTGCAATATTGCAGGTCAACACATTCAGCTGCCGGGAGGATCATTCGCTTACACCAGGAGAGAGCCTCTCGGGGTGTGCGTGGGAATAGGTGCCTTTAACTATCCCTTCCAGATCGCATCGTGCAAGTCAGCTCCAGCTCTGGCATGTGGTCAGTGTGTAATTTACATTGTGCGCTATTACAGATGGCAAACCGTTTTTGCCGTATAAACTAAGAGATTAAAGTTAATGTAGAAAATACTGTAAAAAGTCTTTCATTTTCAGTCATCGGTGCACTTGAACATAGTTGTCTTCGTGGACATGCCCTTTGAAGAGGCATAATTCTGTTCTTTTTGTTTTTCTTTAGGAAATGCTATGGTCTTCAAACCCTCTCCCATGACTCCTGTGACCGCTGTCATCTTGGCTGAGATCTACAAAGAGGCAGGGGTACCTGATGGGCTCTTTTGTGTCGTCCAAGGTGGAGCAGAGACTGGCACCTTGCTCTGCAATCACCCAAAGGTTGCAAAGCTCTCCTTCACTGGAAGTGTCCCCACAGGGAAAAAGGTACAGAGACCCATTAATTTCCATTGTGCTTTTTGAAATACAGACATGTGAAACCAAAGTACTTCTTTTTTCGAATGATTTTCGACGGACATTGATCTAACATTGTGCAATGGGACTAAGATCCCATGAACAGCAGCTAAACATAAACAGAAAGGCTGTAAAACAAATTAATCAAGGTGTTGCAATGGTCCAAAGTCAAATCTTTAACCTGATTGAAATGCTGTGGCATGATGTTATGACAGCAGTGCAGGAACAACTGACCACAAATCACTGAAGAAAAGTTGCTAAAAAGTGGCTTTTATGCATCAAAATACAAGTTTTTGTTTGACAAATGTGTCTTTTATTTTAAATTATAGTTACCTAATATCGATTTTTTTTTTTTCATATGGAAGCCTTAGAATTAAATTAGGTCGTGCATTCTTTTTCACAGGATTGTGTAATAAAATAAGAAAACAATAACATTACCATCCTCACTATGACCACTGCCCCCTACCAACTTTGCTCTTAGATCATGGAAATGGGTGCAAAAGGGGTGAAACAGGTGACTCTGGAGCTTGGAGGGAAATCTCCTCTCATTATCTTCAACGACTGTGACCTGGAGAACGCAGTGAGGGGAGCACTTATGGCAAACTTCCTGACACAGGGGCAGGTGAGACTGAAGGGTATGCAGTCATTGTTGGTATTAGTCTTGTGAACCATGTCAGATGGTGTTAAGTGTTCCTCTGGAATGCGTAGGTTTGCTGCAATGGGACCAGAGTGTTTGTGCATAGAGACATCATTCCGAAGTTTCTTGAGGAAGTGGTCAAGAGGACCACTACCATCTCTGTGGGTGACCCACTGCTCGACAGCACCCGAATGGGTGCACTGATTAGCAAGTTCCAGCTGGAAAAAGTGCTGGGGTTTGTCAGCCAGGCCAAGAAAGAGGTGCGTTTTTTGTTCTTGGGTTGTTTTTTCAGTTTCGGAAAGAGAACTAAATGTGTTACATATCCAATAAATTTAGTTTATCGGGATACATTAAAATGACGGAAAGATTTTAGTTTTCTGTTAGCTATTATGATATTCACCAAATGTCTTTTTTTGTTTCCTCAGGGAGCAAAAGTGCTTTGTGGAGGAGAGCCTTTGGTCCCCAGTGACCCCAAGTTGAAGGGAGGGTACTTTATGTCACCATGTGTACTTGGTATTTATTGAATACTCATATCCACTTCTTTCTGTACAATCTGTATCCCAGTACTTGTCATTCTTAATGTTCCTGCTTTTAACAGACAACTGCAGAGATGACATGACTTGTGTGAAAGAAGAAATTTTTGGACCCGTCATGTCGGTCCTGCCTTTCGACACTGAGGAAGAAGTAATCAAGAGGGCCAATAACACCACCTTTGGATTGGCCTCTGGTGTCTTCACCAGGTCAGTAGAGAAAACTTACTCATTTGATTGTTCTTACTCAGCATTGAGGCGCAATCTGTGATAAACATGAAAATTATTCACTTTTTAAGATCACTTAATTGTATTTGCCTTGCACCATATTCCAATTTTTTAAAATTTTTATTGGGACAGTCCTAGCTTTAATTGTGTTGTACGCTTGATGTCAGGAAAAACTTGATTTTTTTATTGTTTTAAAATTTGAAAACTGTTTGCCCTCCACCTTCAGGGATATTTCACGTGCACATCGTGTGGCTGAGCACATGGAAGCTGGCACATGCTTCATCAATAACTACAACATCATGCCCACTGAAGTGCCATTTGGAGGATACAAGATGTCAGGTCAGATGTTATCGGTCGCGTGCGCGTGTGTGTGTGCATAGTGGCAGATTTGTTTGGAATAGGTTATGAATTAAGTTATGTTTCTGGAATAATATATAAATTTGGGGTTTTACAGGCTTTGGCAGAGAGAATGGCCAGGTGACGATTGAATACTACTCCCAACTGAAGACTGTCATCGTGGAAATGGGCGACGTAGATAATTACTTCTAATCTCATCAGCTTGAGCTTGCATTCACGAAAATAGATTGACCATTAAATTGTGGATTTCAAAACATTTCAAAGATTTTATAGCGTATTTTTATAGTGGATTCGTACATGAAATTATTTTGAACAACTATATTCTTACCAACTCAATAAAATCATGTGGGCTAAGTCTTGTTTTAGTACTTATCACTTTATTTTTTGTTCTTCTCAAGAGTGGTCTGATTATTGTTTGAAGCACAAAGTTTTTTTTTAACATTGTTTTTCTTGAAAGTTTTAGTTGGAACAGCCTAAACATATATTAAGAAGATACAGGTCCATTATAGCAACATACAAAAAACAGACACACATACATCTCTCATGAGTCCTTCTCCCTGGTCACAGATGATTTATATTTAATCTTTATTTGTTCAAGCACCAGCCAAACTTTTCTTTGAACAAATGATACTGTCCATTGACACAGAACCTCGGCTTTTCCAAAGTGATTGTGTCTGAGATAATATTTTTCTACTGTGGAATTACAACCATTTTGTCCTTGCCATCATGTGGGAAAGTTGGTTCCTTATAACTCTTTAATGAATCTGATAGAAGTCCCAAAAGACAAAACAGTGCATCAGGTTTTAGCTGCTGTCTAATCACGCTACTAGCCTCTGTACACACAGACTGGAAAAACTGGAGGGAAACATTTTAAAGAAATGTATTGATTACAAGAAAAGGGCAGTGTGGTCCCCTTGAACAGGACATTGTAAAAAGTCAATCATGTCCAGCAGCTGGTAGAAATCCACAGCGCGAAGGATGTCAATAATGGAGCTGCAGAGGTGGAAGATGAGGTGCTAAGAGAAAAGTATGAAGCAGAGCGCTCGAGTTAGTGGCCTAGAGCAAATAGCCAAGAGTGGTCAATTGAGATTTGCCAATGATATTAGGTAGGTTAGGAGGAAATACAAGTGAGACTAGAAAAGATAAGAGATATAACTTATGTTGTAGAAACATTTAGGGTGCAAGATCAAAAGAAGGTTAAAAGAGCGCATTTACTTTATTCTACAAAACAAAGAGAAATAGAAAAATGGTTGAGGAAAGAAGACTATCAGAAGGATTAGAGAAAGGGAATTAATGTTTTGCTGGAAGAGTTGAGTTTCAAGATGGCAGTTCTTAGAATAACAACATTTCTGAGTAAAAAGGGAAAGAAAGAATATGTAAGGACTGCATTTTATTGGGATCCATTTAAGTTTGTTGAAAGGTTGTTAATCCAGGAAAGGGGAGGGCATCTTAAACCAGCAAAGTCAGAGATCGATGAAAATTTAAGAAATACATACATACTCAGATCTTGGTCAGTGTAGAGTAGTAGGCCTTCCTCTGACGTGCCACCCTGCTAAGTTAATTAAACTCTTAGAGATTTGAATTCAACACATTTGAAGTGTCTATATTGGTCCCCTCTAGATTGAGTTGTAATAACACTTGTGAAGGTGTTGAATAGTTAACACCGTGATAAAACACTCTCAATAGTTGAAATCTAATACAAATTAATGTTTAATTTACTTAACACTAGTGTGCAGTGCGGTGGTGTGTTGGTTAGCAACATTGCATCACAGCAAAAGGCTTCTGGGTTCGAGTCAGGACATTTCTGTGTGGTTTCTCTGGCTGTGCCTGTCGAATTTAGGGATCACCAACTTCATTCTGAGTATCCACGTTCCCGGTAGTATCAGTCAAAGCAGCATTTCAATGTGCTTATTAAAACCTGAACATGTGCAAAACAATAAACAATATCTAAACTGTCCACATTTGAAACGCAACCTCTTTCCGGGATATAAACTACGGTGGACTCTTAAATGCTGGTGCGCTTTACAGACATGATAAAGAAACATATTTGCATCCAAGGATATTTTTCACCCCAAGAGATTTGCAAAATTTTGCTGTTAGCTCCCTGACTCTGGGACTTTTTCTTGGCACTTCCCACATCAATGTTAAAAACTGTGGTTTAGATGAACGCATAGAAGTTGAAGAGGGATTCGTGGTAGTTGACACCTAAGATGAAGAGGGCTTTGATGAGCTAATCGAAAGCTGACAAGGAGGTATGTGCCTTGCAAAAAATGGCTTTCTGATCAATGATGATGTAGTATCCTTGGAAGCTGCTCTTGCTTTCACCAACACACAGGAGGAAGGGCTGTCCCCGTTCAACACCAGCAAGGAATGTTTCAACATTTGCTCCCGTCTTTGACAAAATGTTAAAAAGAGGGGTGACACAAGTCATGAAATATAGCACAGCTACATTGAAATAGCTAACGAAGCCAATAAGAAATTTGTTAGAATTGGGGTATAATTACTCACTTTAATACAGCATGTTAAAACTTAATCCATGTAAACGGCTGATTGTCTTATTCCTTTTTAGATTCATATTATTCCCTTTAGAATGACACTTTTGTGTTAAACTCTCTGGCTTTGCCTACTCCTCCTCCTCTCGCTGTTACAGTATATACTGTACACGTCTTCAAAGTCAACTTTCACTCACACACACTTGCTTATCACATTCCACCGAAACCTGCATGAATTAGGTTCTGGCCTGTTCATGTCAGAGCTAACTGGCCAATAACAGTCGGTTACGTCCAGCTGCCCTCCTGTTCGAGGCCCGGCCCATAGGATAAATGTCCATCGCACCCGGAAATCGAGGCTCTTGCCGACTGAGATCCTCCGGTAGCTTTGTCTGTGAGAGCCCAGCGCTGATTTACATTGCTTGTGACCAATAAATGTCATATTTGTACTCTTGATCTGGTCTGGTTTATTCTCAGGCTTCCAACTAAAGAATCGGGCTAACAAAGTGCTTCAGCACAAGATAATAGCAGACACATTCAGCTAATACATAACTATTAGCTATTTTAAAAAGAGTGAGCCAAACTAACCAGACTCGCCTGTGTCATGCTGCGCAGACAAGAGCTCTTCAATGTGCTCATTAAAAGTCAGTTTTCTGCACTTTGTCAGGAGTCCAAAACAAATGCACAATTTAGCGTAGAGGCACACTGTCTGTGTCTGCATCTGTTCCACATTGTTGATTTACCTCTCTTAACACACTAAGTGATGTATGGGAGGCAAACACACGCCTAAAATCTCAGGGACTACTCTAGCACATGCTTCCGAAAATGACTTAATCCATGGCACTCACCCTTTATTCATATCTGGTAATTGAGACCTTATCATTGCAGTGTCTTGCATGATAGCACCAAGAAAAAGTGATCTGTAAATAATAGTTACAAAGAAGAAAAATCACAAAAAACACAGACATATTCATATGTAAATTTGAACATAAATAAAAAAATTGATTGGTAGATTGGCCAAGGATTCACATCAGGGACTCCATAAGGTAAACCCCATCTATTTGAAAAACGGGGATAACAATAAATGTGGAATTATATGACATCTGTGATTATAAAAGTTGTTAATGCTTAATACACAAACCAACACCACACACCAAGGTTTAATTGGTTTATAGTTGCTGTGGTGTCTTTGATTGTGGTTATGTATAAATGACATTCGGTGAGATTCACGGATCTCTTCTTGGGCTGGCAAAGCCCTATACAATAGGCTGGTTTTTGGACAGTTACCTCTGATGCAAACATGCCAGTGTCTTGTTCATGTGATCACTGAATGTGCTGAGGAAAAAGTTAATGAATGTTGCAGTGGGCGCTTACCTAATGCAGCAAACTGACATATTCACGACAAGTGTTGGTGCCTGGTGCCGACTTATCACAGAGAGAGAAACAGAAAGCTCAGTGAAATTAAGAGTCTGAAGTGAAATAACTAAAAGCCAATTATGACAACACCTTGTTCTTGCCAAATTACCTTGATACAAAATGTCTCAGAGATTTTAAATCAGTCAACATGTTCAGGTCATTCTGACAACTTTTCTCTCTCACAATGTCTTCCTGATCTGAGTGCTGTCACTACTGCAGAGCATGTGGCGCCCAAAATGTTTTGTCACTGAAGTACCGGTGGAGTAGACGTGTGCTGGTAGGAGATTCTGACAGTGATATTGGGAAAAATATCACGGTTTCATGGTACTATGATTACAGTTATATGATGTGTTATTTTGTATAATTCTGTACTCAAAAAGACAAATCTTCATTGTACAGTCACTCATTTTTAAACAATATATATGTAGAGCATGGCACCTAAAAATATGTATTTGTCATGCAAAGATTATTATATATAAGTTTTGTGTGCACACAACACAAATCACTGGTGTGAATACGTGATGCCACTCAAAACTAACATACACAGTCTAACAAATCTAAAACAGTCGAAGAAAAGTTATGACCAGCAAAATTACCAAGCTGCCTGCCCCAATAACACAGTTAAAGGATTTCTTTCACTAATGCCAGGCATTTAAGGTAGGTCATTCATTTCAAGACCACACTACTTTACTTTGAATTCAGCCAATAGTAATGAGTAGTGCTCCCACAGATGCACTGTATGCAAGCAGGTTTTTCCTCCAAGTTGTTGCTGTCTGTCTGCTCACAATGTTTGAACTATTCCCATACAACCGACGGTGGTCTTTTAGACGGGAGGATCGTGAATGGGCACTCAACTTTTCAGCCATGATACAACCTGCAAAGCTGCTTTACAGGGGTGCGTGAGGACTTGCTGTTAATCATGAACACCAGAACCTGCCATTTGGCCAGGCTTCACATTAGTGTCGGTTTGTTCTTTTTATCTGCTTGCTTTTTAGATAGCCACACCTTGTGGACATAGCACCATGGGTTTGAGGCATGTGCATTTTCATTATCACTCAGTTCTTCCAAGAAGAGGAGCATACATTTGACTGAATTTAGGCAATAAATCACTTCTGTTCTAGGAGCACATTTCCTCAGTTTATCATTGTTGCTCTCAATCCTGAGCTTATAGCAGTTGTTTTCCTCATGTAGTCCTGATCTCTAAACTCACTATTGATTAAGGGAAATAGTTGCCTAGGACATGAGTTTGAAAAGAGATCATCTGTGGCCATCTGGTGCCAGTCTTGCAGCACAGATGAAGTCCATTCCCACGGATAACAAGTGTTCCATCCTGTAAATACTAGGAAAAGCTTCCATTTCATTAAAAACTTGCTTGTGAATAAACGTGTACCAGAACTACTATGGAGAGTAAAGACTATAACTAGTTTATTTTTGCAGCTTTTATTTGTTTTTAATCTTACATTAATAAAATGTATCTCCTTTTAGCGACAATCAAGTTCCACCTTTTCAGTCGTTTCTGGATGTGGGAATCCAGGTCCTAACACGCTCCAATGAATAATGTCCAGAGATAAGTTTGGGGATGCTCCCGTTTATTGCAAATGATGCATATCAATAACAATCCAAAATCCTGTGAGGATGTTTATGGCAGCATTTAAAATGGATGATAGTTATGATGCGTATGATGCGTATGGAGCTCTAATAGAGAGCTGTAAAAAACGTATGACCTCCTTACACCCTCAGCCCTCTATCTTTCACACCTATATAGATTTCCCCTCCACACTGCCACCAGTGGTCGAGCAAAATATAGGTCAAAGTGTCATTACACATATAAACCAAGCTCCCCCACTAAACCAAACTGATCTGTCAAAACCAAATAAGAAAGACCCAAGTATGCCCAAACACCGAAATACAAATTGTTGCTATACTCCCGTTATGCCTTTGCAGGAACATTCAGTAATGTAACCAAAAAAATCTGAACTGTTAAAAGTTTGCTCTTTGAATGCTGCATGTAAAATGGTGCGCTCATAAGTTTTTTCATAGGATAGAAATGTTGAAACTTTATTATCAAACATGTCAGTTATTTTCCTTCAATGTCTGAAGTTCATGTCACTAAATATTTACACAAGTTTGGACATAATCTGTGTTTTTCTGTTAATACATAATTTATTTCTATGCCATATTAAAGTAAGGGATCCTGTTCCTGTTTCTAGATGCACATCCCAAATAAAATAAAAAAATCAGTATCAGATATCTATGCCTTTACAAGGAAGGTAGTTTCACACAGGTTTGAGACTAAGTTGATAAGTTCTTCTCAAATATGTTCATTACGAAAATGAAAACACAGCTTTCTGGCTGAACTTTACAATATATTCTGGTTCCCTAGTTTCACAAAGAAAAGGTTTCTCAAACATGTTTACTTTAAATAATTAAATCTTTATCAGGCACCATGAAAACCGTAACACGAACTGTAAAAAATAACAAATAAATCAAAATTGTATAAACAAAAACCTTTAAACCATGACTGGAAAATAATCATACTGTATATGACATCATTGAACAGCATAATCATCTGTATGGGTATCTAAAACACATTACATTTAAGAAATTCACTGTGCAAAAGACCATTTCTGAGCTTAATATTTGTGAAGCTGTTGAAATCACATGGCTAACAGACTTAAACAACCATCAGCATTATGCTTTTACTTTGACAGGCGTGAACCGGAATCAGTTGCAAGCTTCACCCTTAGATACCGGTTTGTTTGTTGTTCAACAATGCAGGTAATCTTTATTAGGTATTTTGCAAGTCTAAGCAATACTGCGCAAAACATTTTGTTTATGTAAACACTGACATGCTTTATGTTTCTTTTTTATAAAATTATGTTTTGTATCTATTTGTTGAACTGGAGTTAGCTTGCATTAGCTTGTTATGTAGCGTTTAGCAGTTCACGCTTCCACATTTAAGGCTGGCATGATAATGTTTAATAAGGTTTATTTATTCTTTACATGTGACTTTTTGTTTGTTTGTTTTTAAGCAACGAGAAGAGAAGCAGTTAGAAGCCTCAGTGGAGTCGCTTACCTCGCGTGTGTCTCTCGTCCAAAACGCTCTCCAAAGTTTCATTAACAAATTGGAAAACGAATACGAGCGTTTAGCATGGTGAGTAAAAATGGATAAAGGGTTTGATTATTGTCCCTAAACTTAAAGAAAAAATGTGTACACGATCATACTAACTTATTTTATCTAAGTAATATCGACAGAGTTTTTTTTTGTCTTTGCAAAGAGACAAAATACTGTTTTGCCAAAATGTCACCTGTCGCTGATTGACACTGATTATTTAGCTGACGCTTTTAAATATTTTTTGGTTGCTTAGGCCCTCTGTTTTGGACAACTTCGCACTTCTGTCTGGTCAGCTTAATAGCATCAATAAACTTCTGAAGAATGAGAAGACACCATCGTTTCGCAGTCAGGTTATAATACCTCTGCTTCTGTCTCCTGATAGAGATGAGGACTTGGCTGTAAGTATCTTGATTTTACGCAATCTTTCTTATCTATGAAGTCATTTATCTCACCTGTCCATGTATTGTCTGTTAGAAACTTACAGAAATGCGTGTCCCAGTGTTCAGCCATGAAATTGTGCCGGACTACTTGAGGACAAAACCTGATCCAGAGGTAGAAGAACAAGAAAAGCAGCTGAGCGCAGAGGCAGCACGTATCGGTCCTGAGGTGGCTCAGGTAAGTTTTTTTTTTTTTTTATCGTTAGGAATGCTTCATTAGTTTTTAAACTGTGTGTATTTGGTGTTCGTTCAGCCCCTATTTTTGCATAATGTTCATTAACAGAAACAGATCCAGGCATTGAACAAGATGTGTTCTAGTCTGCTGGAGAAACTGAACAACCCACGTGAAGAAAGAGATTCAGACAGTACTGGTATGTTACTCCTCTCCTAGAAATTCTTTGTTCAAATTGATATCGCGATAAAACTGGACTTTCATGTTTTCTTTCCCAGCACGGCAGAACAAACAATCTTTCAACCCCGCTGACACCAATTTATTAGTTTCAGCCATAGCCTTTGGAAAAGGTCTCTCAAAATGTAGGCCTCCCTGTCCAGTACCTCCAGGACACTCGGGACAAGGACCCATGATGAGTGGGGGTCCAACTTTACAACAGGTCACCATTGGAGGTGGTGGAGGACAGCAGGTAGGAATGGGAGGACCTGCGGCCCAACAGCAGCAAGGACAGCCGGGTAAGAGAACTGATTCTCTATTTGTACTGAAAAGAGAGACAGTAAAACCTCTACTTTCGACTGGCTAAACACACAAATTTTCCAACATATGAAAGTGAAATTTGACCAAATATTCGGCTCGACACCAAAAGTATATTTCCAACAGTGAACGTCGAAGTAATTGAAAAATATATATAAAATATGAGAATTAAAATAAATAGGCTAAGTTAGTTTAAACTTCACATAGTGAAAGTTAGAGTTGGTTACGGTACGCACTGTATTCAGTCACCACCTCTGCCTCCACACCGACCGTCTCCTGTATCGCTAAGTCTACACCTCCGTTCACCAGTAAAGTGCCAATAAAAACACCTTTTTATTGATTACTTCTTTATAATTTATTTCTTTTTACATCTCTCTTTTATAGTACATTTGTTTTATCGCTATGTGTAATTATCTGCAGTATTTATCAAGGAGTTATTGTAGGTTTTTGGGCTGTGGAACAAATTATATTCATTACAGTGTATTCTAAAGGGAATATTTGAACTGACATATGAATATTTTAAAATACGAAGTAGGTCCCGGAACAAATTAAATTGAATGTAGAGGTTCTACTGTATTTCAAGCAGCTGCAGCCAATGCAAGATACAACATTGAACACAGCTGTAAGATGCTGTTAGGCAGATAAGGAAAGAAATGAACATTACTAATGAAGACATAACAATAGTAATTGTAATCATGATACCAGTAATTATTAACCTTTTCACAGCACCAGTAGAGGCATGAAAGAATTGAAAATTACAAGTAAACATAAAATGACTGACCTGCAAGCGTGTTAAATGAAAAAGCTATCACCTTATGTGTAAAACCATTTCAGATGCTAATGTGACGGTGGTACTTAAGGTGTTGCTACCTTGAGTAAATTGGATTAAAAAAAGAAAAGATTTGGATTTAGGAATGCATTGTCTCTAACCATTAACTTTAGGTACACGGTTATAGTCATAACCAGTGTTTGGTGTTCAATCACGTTTAATCACACAATCTATATTTTGTTGCTTTTAAATTACACTGTTAATTGATTTTTCAAATGTTTATTTTTTACTTTTGGATATCTACTGTCTCAGCTACCTTGTTTTTGTTTCTTGACAAGTTAAATAAATGTTGCAAGTTGTACAAACGGTCATCTTAGTCTTTGTAGTAGTTTTAGTTTAAAAAAAAGAAAGTCAGTCAGTTCAGTTTCTTGTGAATACATTTGAACTTTGGTTTGGCTATCCTTGCAGAAGAAATTAGAGAATTTAATGTGTTTTGTAGCCTTTGCAATCTATATCTGATTTTGTTCTTAACTGACATGAGAAAAACATGCATTAAAATGTTTTGTTTGTTTTTTTCCCCAGGAAAAATGCCAAGCAGCATCAAGACAAACATCAAGTCTGCATCAGCTTCAATGCATCCTTATAACCGATGAGCATCCTGGAAAAGAAAAATTGATTATTGTTTCAACAGTGCAAAAACATTTAGAATACAGGTTGTTCAAGAAGCTTTTTCTTAGTGCTGATTGAACCAGTCTCTTTAGATCATGATCTGTATAGAGCTTCAGATGTGGATTTATGTTATTTTTGGTTGTCTTGTATCTGTTTTTGGTTCACATATGAAACTCTGCAATTGAGTCACTGGGTGGCAGTATGGTATCAATTAAATGATTGCAGAGGGGCTAAATCTGTACACATGACGTTGTCTAATAAAAAAAATAGCTAAAGAAATTGTTTGGTTTCATGAAATTTCACATAAAATTTTGATGAATTAATCTATAGTCCTTTTGCAATTTAAGGACTGTTTATGTGCATTCCAAAACAAATAACCATCTGAAGATGTAAGCTGTACACAATAATTTAATCTGGCCTATATTTCTTTTACTTTCATCATCTGTTGTCATATTTTTTTTTGCAAGTTCCAAAGGTGAAAATAATAAGGGTGGACATTGCGGAGTGTGGCCTGATAATGTCAAAGTGTTTAAAGGGAAAAATGAGGGAATATTGCTGCTGACGTGTGAGGGGGGCCTCTCTCTGTGCCAACTCTCTGTCCACTCTAATCCCTGTCCTACCGCACAGCACACTGACCGTGATACCCATGGCTGACCTACATACACCCCCTTACCCCAAACAGGCAGACGTCTTGCTGTGTCAGCCAGTGTGTCCAGATCACATCCACTGCTGAGACAGCTCAAAGCTGCGCAAGGTCACACACGTGTGTTCCCTGATGAGAGGTAACAGGGAATATATGATATTTGATTACAATAATTTAAACTCTGGCAATCCACCGGAGTTAAATTTGTTTTTATTGCTGTGGCTATAAACAACGGTGTCCAAGCAGATTTACATGGAACATGTTACCCTCAAGTAGCCTTAAAGATTTTATGCTTTTTATGTGATACACAAGAGCGCCTGGGATGTATTATTTTTACTACTATTTTTACTAACTTATTTTCTCCTACTTTGTAAGATTTTCTCCCATTAAAGTGATTTATTATACTTGTTTAGACAGCATAGAATTGAAATAGTTAATCTGTAACAAACACTATTTCAATTTTTTATTTCTGTAAATGCTCCAAAAAGATGTTTTACTTTGTTATCTGATAAGATTTTACACATTTTCCAAAAGTTGAAATGCAGTCTATGAAAAGACATGAGTGCTTATTGCAATTAAATAAAGTGCATTGGAAATTTTCTGAACACATTCTCATCTTAAACTGTTTATGATTTCCTCTTATTAAATACATCAGACTTAAAATTCTCAAAACTACTTTATCAGTTCATTGCAACATTGTCAATCTCTAACAAAGTTAAATGGGTGAAGCATTAGATCAAGCAATAATCAACCAGTTTTCTTAAATAGCTCGAAGACTTATCTCTTTAACCATCAACTGGTGTAAGTGACTATACTGTATACAGCTATAGAACAACCCAATGTTAAAATTTTTGACAAAGGAAGGATGAGGTCAACTGCCAGCGAGGAGGAAGAATAAAGGTGTATAAAAAGGATTAGACCTAGGGTGAGATTTTGCAAACACTAAAAAATTGTTGCAGGTACAGTTCAGATCGATTAAAAATAAGAAAAAAAATACATAAACCAATAATTAAAACACCCAACATGAATTTAATTAATCATTCAAGAAATTGTGCAAATTGCAAATTACCACTAACAACAGTAGACATTAGATTCCAAACACTATTAAAACAGCCCATGCCACTGATTCATTTACCAAATCTGCAGCTTCAGTCTGCACCTCACATTACTTGGCTACTCTTTAAAGCTGCTCTCTTGCATACTTGTCCCTTGGCTTTTCCCCTTCTGGACACATTCTGTAAATAGCCATTTTCACTTAACTAATGACACAGTTGAGAGCCAACCACTTATTTTGCTCTTCTGCACCTCGCACTATTAATAAAAGTTGTCATGCTAAGATATTCATTAGAATAAGTGAAACGCTTGTATTAAGACAGAGTAAAATGCCCCATGAGCCTTTTACACTCTCTAAAATTTTTAAATATTTAGACAAAAAGGCACTGATTTTTGACATAGCAGGGTTAAAAACACAAATAAGAGCATTAGTATGGCAATAGTGCCATGAACAAATTTCCTACTTTAGGTCAACCATTTTTTACTTCAGGGTAAGGGTAAACATTTATTTATTAAATAATTTGAAATAATGGTAAGACCTGAATCTTAAGAAATGTGTTTTCACAGAATAAACGTGTGATGTATCTTCTCCAAACGCCCAAAAAGTAATTTGGTTCTGACCCTCACTGTGGTCTAGATTGTGTAAGTTTGTTGTGTCATACAAGGTTAATATAGGCTACTGTGGTTAGCTCTTTCTGTCACAGATCATGAAAATATTAATAGAAGTTTTATAATATAAAAAACAAGTTTTTAACAGAATAGTTAGACCTTACTGCTATTCTGCGAAATATGGCCTTTAGTTGCTCAACATAGATTCCATTCAAATGATTTGTTGTAATGTATCCATTTATTTTCATATGATAAACTTTTTTCCTTTAAATTTGTATTTGGCTTGCATCTAGAAGTGAAGAAACTGGCTTTACAAAATGGCATTAGAGAGAATTGTTTTTATATTTTCATGTTATTAATGCTCTGTGATATGGTTTTATTGACCATTCCTTGGTTTTATGTCATGTTGCTGTTTGGGATTTTTCATGTCTCAGGCATTGGTGGGACCAAGGCAAAACTTAGTTGATGCTTTCATCTCAGCAGTATACTCTCAGTGTCACACTTGTTATTCCGTAAAGGACATGGAGACAATCAGTGTTTCCACTGGACATGGAGGATATGTTGGAGACCTTAAGGTTAAAAAAAAGGCTTTGGTCAGCTCACTAGATGCCAAGGTACAGGGTGCTTTAATTCACTCTTGGGTCCAGAACATCATGAAAATGGATGCTCCCTCTAGCCTTTATGAAAAGAAGCATGACCAGAGGGAGGCAATCCTCTCTCAGCTCTCTGACCCAGGGCAGGAACTCACAGAGCTTGGTCAGAGCTGAAGGTGTGCTGTGGAATACATCTTTCTCCAGGAGTGATGTTGACGAGAATGATGTGACTTTTGAGGAGTTTTGTGGTGAACTACCTCAGATCTCTGAGGAGATCAATGCACATATGGAGACTCCTCTACAGATAGCAATGCTACATGCGCTCCCTCCATATAGGGTATGCAGAGATGGAAAGCATACTGTACCCACAAGTGGCTTTACAGTCAAATTCTATAAAACCTTCTGGCACATATAGAATAAATGGAGCTCCCATCTGCTCTTGGACACAAAGAGCAGGGGTTACTGTACAGTTTGTAAGCAGACATTTATCCGTTCTGACACTATAATGTTACACAATGCTATGGGATCCATCCATTATCGTTACCGCTTATTCCCTAATGGTGTCGCGGTGCGAACTGGAGCCTATCCCAGTGGTCAATGGGCGAGAGGCGGGGTCACCCTGGACGGTCCGCCAGTCCATCGCAGGGCCACACAGAGACAGACAACGACCGACAACCATGCACGCTCACTCCTAAGGGCGATTTGGAATGTCCAATCAACCTAACATGCTAACAGTATTTGGACTGTGGGAGGAAGCCGGAGAACCCGGAGAGAACCCACGCAGACACAAGGGAGAACGTGCAAACTTCACACAGAAAGGTCCTAGTTCCTCCGGGACTCAAACCCAGGACCCTCTTGTTGTGAGGTGATGGTGCTAACCACCACACCACCGTGCCAACCATGTTATGAGATATTCTTTAAAATTGCTATTGAAGATTATCCAAATAGTGACCAAAATGTGTCAAGAAGGGTCACTAGTGGGGTGCTATAGTCAGAAATGACTTGCTTTAAGAAATTGCTTTATAGTCACATCTGTGTATTAATGGAAGAAGCCTGTAATCTGCCAAAACGTGATCTATGCGTGAAGTGTGTACTATGAACAGGAGGGAAGAAAAGAAGTACCTTCTGGATGTAGGATTGTGAAACTGCCGCACATCTGTGATCTCTTTGGTGTTCAGAAACATTTTGATTGCATGTGGTGCTTTAAAAATGCTCCCAGTCTTGGTTGATAATACACAGTCTTGAGAATATCACATCCATGGAGATAATAGTTTGTGCCTATGTTTTAGATAAGAGCTAAGGGGTTTGTGACAATTGCAGGATTTTGCTAATTTGGAGCATAAATATTGATTGACCAGAGTATCATATCTATCTATGATCTGTTTTTTATCTTCCCACAACTATCTCACAGTGACCTAAAGAGTCAGCTTTGACCTTTAGACATTACAAACAGAACACTTTTACTGATTAATATTTCTGAACCCCTGGGTATGGATTTAGGATTAGAATCAGTAGTACATAGGTGAGTTTCTTGAAGAAAGGATATCCCTGTGTCAAGTTTTGTCCGACAAAACAACATTTTCCTTCTACTCTTCACAGGCTGTTTAAGGGACTTTATATTCCAGGTGACAAAGTTGACAACGCAACTGGACAGTCCCTTCAGAGCAACAGAAACTTGTTCGGAAAATAATGATAAATGATGAATATGGGATAACAACAGTGATCCTGAGTGTAAAATACCAAAAAAAAGAAGAAAAGAAAATGAAAAAAGCTAGTCAGTTAAATGCATTTCATAGTATCAGCCCAGATAAATATGGAGATGTTATAATAAAAAGTCTAAGTCATAAAAAGAGAAAAGAAAACAGACCGTGTGCAAAAAGCTCTATTTAAACACAATTTGAGTCTTTTTGTAAACTGATATAAATCAGAAACATAAACATCAACCCAACCTATTTCAACTATTTTTAGCAAGAAATATATGAAAAAATGTTTTCATATTTTTTCAACTACCAGTAAAAAAACTGGTCGTTTATTACATGATAATATTTTGAAAACCTTTAATGCACGCGTGTCTTCACGTCGATTACACGAATACTGTACAGCAAAGATGTAAGAACTTAACGACTGCAAAGCTGTCGGTATATTCTACGATGGTTGTCGTTCTCCAGTTCCATAAACTGAGATTAAACTTGGAACAGTTTTAGTCTCCTGTGCTCCTATTGAAGCTTTGATATATAATTTTGAAATTAAACTTAAATAATATTAAGAAGATGTTGTTTATGTTGCAGGAAAAAGGCATTGAAAAAAAATATTTTTTTTTTTAAATGAATAAATACATTGATAATTCATCCATCAGCCTTCTGTATTAAGCATGTATTAGATCTTACCATAAAATGTTTTATGTCAGACACACGCAGCTGGTCATACCAAATTACTTACTTATTGCGAAATTGGAGCAGGTTTTGACTTTATATAGTACGGTCGCATAAGCCAGCATCAAAGCCTTTAAAGCTTATATTACATCAGATGTTTTAAATTCTGGCAGGCTGATGGAAGTCGTCAACTTGTGTTATTAGACACTGTTGCTGTACAGTTTTCGGGTAATCGACCTTAAGGCACGCGCACATTAAAGATTTTCAAAAGATTATGTCACTGATTTTTAAAACGTGTATTAAAAAAACAAAATAACTGCTATTTGTGATTTGAGACAGAAATAAATCGTTTGCAGGACTTGCATTCTGTTTGTAAGTAGCTTGCTGAATGCGCGCTCCCGCTGTTGGGGACATAATTCCTGGCTATTTTGGCACAAGGTGTTTTGCTTTGCTTGCATATATTTATACCTTAAACCACATAAACACTTTGGCCTTTACATGATATAACCTACCTCTTTCACCCAGTAATTAACAAACCACACTTTAGCCTATATACATACTCTTCAACACATTCACAGCAATCTATAGACTTCCAAAAGTTCAAAAACCAACCATTCTGAATTAGTCAGCTACTCTTAGTCCTGAGCTACTCCTGAGACATTGTAGAAAAACCGTAATAGTATTCTATTTTTGCATTTCCTATAGTTCCCACATATTTAAATGCGTTCTCTGAGGAACATAAGTCTGTCATGAAGAGAAGACAAATTAGTCAAAATGCATGAGGACAGACCTATTTTAATGAAAAGATCTAGGATAAACGTATGAAAAAATATCAATCCCTTCTACATGACTATAGACTTTCAAATGGTCATTAAAGTGCTTTCTAAAGAAGAATCGGCCTTTTTGCAGCACAACCAAACATATTAATAGTTTTATTTTTGAAACAGTTAAGGACAGATACTGTCCATGATTAGAATTGCATATTCTAATAGTGTTAAATAAGAAGCAATAAAAAATCCTCCTGAAAGACTTGTGCAGCATTTGTTATGGTGTAGCACAGTCTGTTTGTTGAAGCAATAAGAACAATGGTACAATGGTTTCAGTCACAGTGAGAATTAAAACCTATTCTCCTGTTCAGCCCAACAAAGCCTTTTGGTTTTTCGAAGGACAAGTCTGCAGCACGTGTCGCCTTTCATGCTTCAAACTGTGCCCAATAGAGGCCCTTTGAAAAAAGAGGCTTCTCCATTTATTTAAATTTGATCATATTCGTGCACATGCTAGTCTAACAGTTTCTGCCATGCTTTCTAAACTGGATGCTTCCGGGAATCTCTTTCCAATCCACAAGGTAATGTTAAAAACTATTCCCTTTTTTTCCGAAGAGTGATGAATCCAAGGCACAAATCAGACATCCTGTCTGGTTTATCTGGAGGAGAGAGATAAGTGTGGATTCTGTCAAGGAATGCACATTAACCATGCCTTGGAGGGAGAAAAGGGTGTGGGGAAAGGTGGTGGAGGGGAGAGGAGGCATCTGTCTGCTGGAAGAACACAGCTTTCACTCACTTTGAAAACTGTGAACATGTCCCCTTCACACCCTTGGCAGCATGGCTGGGCTCTGTCGCTGTGCGAGCAGTGATTAAACGCTTCTGCGCCACTCCACAGTTCAAAGTGAAATGTGCAATGTTTACTAAGGGTGTTGGGCTGACAAGTCCACAACGTGTTATGTTTTATCCTGCAGTGACTCTTGACCCTGACCCTGTTACTAAAGTCTTGAGAAAAATCTACTTTCGAGTTTACAGTAGAATTTCTTTTGTAAAAAAAAAAAAGACAAAACTGCAGTGTATTCACAAAAGAAACTATTTATTTGTAGTATACACTACCGGTAGAAATGAAGCAACCAGAAAACCCTAAATTTTCAGCTATTTTTCTTCACAGAAAACAGTTGACTTGAAATAAAAAACAAAACAATAGTTTTCCATTTCATATCTTTTTACATACGCAGAGATCTCAAAAGTTAAAACCTGTCATGAAAAAAGGCTCCACGATTTCACTCTGAAATCCTTACAAAAACTAAGTTTACATTAAAAACCATTAAAAACACTAAGTACTTTATCTTATCGAAGAAAAAAAAAGACATGCAATAAATAAACATTTTCAGTTTCACAATTGTTTAATTTTTCTTTTCATTTCTCTTTTTCCTTTTATTCTCAAAAACTAAAGAGCATTACAACATGAAGGCTTAATAAAATTTGACAGGCAACAGTGAAAAGTAGAGTAACAAATTATTTTTGAGGGGTGCGAAAACAATCCTTATGCTTGCCTGGTGTGGCCACCGCTCTCAGTTCAGTTAGATGATTTTAAAAGCAGCACTGAGACTAGTTTTGTGCATCAATTCAATGTCCTTTGTTGTAATACTGAGTAAGGGAGTTGAGGGGGGTCCCTCTGAATCATTCAAATAAGTTTGTCCACACTGTAGCTCTGAAATCTAAGTCTATGGTTTTCAGTAGGTTCAATGACATAAAAAAAGAAAAAAAAAAGTATGTTAGTATTAACTTAGATACCACATTGAGCCAGTTGCCATCATGGATGCTGGCTTATGTTGGTGTTCTGAGTACAAAATGAGCTGCAATCCAAATTTAAAGATGCAAAACAAGAGTAAAGGTCCATATCTACATAATAAACATAGAGCTTTCTAGGACTAATGCACATACAACGATAACATAAAGAGAAATTTAGAAATTAAAATAAAGACATGATTCACAAAGCAAAAATAAATAATTGCAATTATTTTCTGGGTTTGATTACCATCAGGGCATTTGTTCTGATTTGTGATTAATAAAAACACCTATGCATTTTAGCTGCATTTTTACTGCAGTATTAGGTTATATCAAATAAAATTGCATATAAAACCCTTCCAAAAGTTGACAAAAGATAACCTAAACCTGTGGGATTCTCACAGATGTGTCATAGCCTTTGACTGGTAGTGTCTGTAAAAATGCTTCTACATTGTGAGTACTGTTGCATATATTTATATCTTAGACCACATACGGTACCATACATATCACACAGGTCAGACACAGAATTTCCATTTTGGATTAACTCTTATTAATGAATGGATTGTCATTACAGGATGATTATGGGATGATTAAATAATGATAGCATTGGTCAGCGCAGAAAATATGTGATGAATTACAGCTGGCATACATTGTTACAAAAGAGGTAACCCTCCGTGACAATGTAAATTACTCTAGTAAGATTAATTGGATATCTTTGAAAAAATTGTTGTGTATTTGTATTATATGGGCAACTGTGTATTTGCTAATTGTCAGCATGCAAGTAGGATAGTCAGAACTAAAAAAATTTGTTTAGCTTATACTCAGACTAGATTTAGCATATATGCACCTTGTGAAGAATGATTTGATTTTAAGCAAATCATTTTCTTTGATCAAATTGACCCACTATGTTTTTAAGAGGTCTGAAACAGTAAGACTGTCTTCAAGGTAAGACCCACAATGTGTTAAGACACAACACTTCAAAATTAGATTAAATATTTTCCTTTGGGGCACCATTGTGGTGTGGCAGTTTGCACCATTACCTCACAGCAAGAGGATGTCTTTCTATGTGGAGTATGCTTGTTTTCTCTGCGAAGTGTCTATGTGGTTGACAATCTAGTGATTTTACAAGGGTGTAAGGTAAAGTCTCGATGTCATTTGGCTCATGCCTATGACATCGACGGTAAGCTCCTATAAGTACATGTAGCAAGTGGATGGATATTTTGTTTTGGATTGGCAGCAGTCTTTATCTATAGAGATGTCAGTATTACAAATTCCTATAATATCTGGCATTGTTTTGAAGATGTCATGGTGTGAGCTGTTCCTTCTATGACATTTAGAATTGATCTATTTCAAACTGAATTAATCAGTGTTTAAACAATACCATTGTGCTTTATTTCAAATGAATGCTTCATAACGGCTACTAACATTGTGATTAACTTATTCTTTCTGCTCGTTTCTTTGTAAAAATAATTATGGAGCCAGCATGCTCTCATCCTGTTGATTTGCAAAGTGTAAAAATGACATATTGCAACTGAAAGACTGCAATGGCTGAAATGAGAAGAAACTATATATATCATGGCTGATTATATAGATAGTTCCTGATTATTAAATGCTTGACTAACAAAATAATACTTGAAAAAGTATGTCATGAGTAATATAGGGATAAAAACATTAGCAAAACGCATCTCCAGGTATACAATTTGGCACTACAGATTAACAAAAACAATATGAATACAATATTAAAAGCAAATTTGCAATGACAGGGATGAGGAATCTAGTAAAACCGCTGTAAATTGTAAAAAATTAACAATGTAAAATGTTTGTTAATATCACTCATAGAGGTAGTGTGAAAGTACTTAAATTTACAAGTAGAGAGGTCACAAACTGATAACTGTGAGCCTACCCAGTTCATTTATAATATTAAAACAAATACAAAGAGGCAACATAGACACCAAGTCATAACTTTTGAAAGTTTTGGATATGAGCCCCATTCAGAGCCTGTTAATGGTGCTTCGGTGGTTCTGACAGGAAAAGTTTTTTTCTCCTTTACAGCGGAAGCATCAACCCCAGGCCGGATCAACTATGCCCTGCTGTGCCATATAACGTCCATAGTAGGCAGGAATCACAGAACTTTGGAATGAGCGGGGTGAAGGATCAGTTGGAAGTGTCTGAGTGAACGCTTCCAGGTCCTTCTGTGGGTGACGTCACCGATGAGGGGGTCGGGGCATCCTGCCAGCCTCCATTTGCCTAACAGACAGAGAGAGAGAAAACACACAAACCAAAATGGGGTGAGTTGCTTTCATGGCCAGTAGTTAGTGCAGCTGTAAATCTTCGAGGTACATTAAACAGATGTCCTTAGTGCAGAGTAGTGTATAAGTTCCATACACTTTTATATACACGTATATACACATACACATATTGATACACATCTCTTCTGGGAGAACGTTCTGTCCAGAGCTTTGCAACCATCAAAATTGATGTTTATTGCCAAGTACATTTTCACATACAAAGAATCTGACTGTAAAAAAAAAAAGAAAAAGTAGGCTACAACAGAATGAAATAGAGAAAGGGAGATAAACAAAATGAAAAAAAGTAACACAAAGTATATACATAAGGTGAAACGGAGTCACTGAAAACCAAAACTACCATGCAAAAAGCAGCGCCAATATCAACGGCGGAACAGTGAAACACACTGGCAGTGCAACAAGGATGAAAGCATTGTACAGCACAGGAGTTTGTGTGCTGCATACATCTGATACAACTGTATTATGTCCTGGGTTGGGTGATGGCAATTGTTATGTCAGAGGTAGGGCTGAGACACAGTTCATAACAGAGACAGCAGAAGGGGAGAAACAGTTTTTGTTGCTTGAGGTTTTAGTACAAACGGACCGCAAAACTCTCCCCAGAAGTAAGGATCTCAAAGAGACAATGCCCAGGGTGAGATGGGTCAGCCATGATTCAATCAGGGTCCCGGAGGCATTCAGGTCATGCAGGGACGGGAGGTTGCTGTCAATCACCCCCGCAGCAAAACAGATGCTGCAGCCTGGTTTTACCCCTCATGGTGGCTGCAGCATGCAACACTGTGATGGCGGAGAATGGAAGTGTCATTGTTTTTGGCAGGTTGGATTTCTTCAGCTTCTGGGTGAAGATGGTCCCCAGAAAACAAAAAGACTCTGTGTTTGAAATAGTAAAATCACGGAGTGATGGGGGGCGGGGCCGGTAGCGTCTTTCCTGCCTAACCATGACCACCTCCTGTTTTAAGAGCACTGAGTTCTTAATTCAGCAGTAAAGCAATTAACTCTGGGATAAATAATCCTTATTGAATCTTGAATCTTTTACCTGCTGCTTCCTACCAGACTCAGACTCTGTAATCAACCAAATTCGAACATGTTCCACTTGGAGAGCTTTTCCTGTAGCAGTCAGGAATACAGTATTAAAAGCGGGGCTGAAATCCACAGACAAAACTCTTCAGATGAGATGGAGAGCAATGTTAACAGACCTGTTCGCTTTGTAGGCCAACTTCGTGGGGTCGAGGAGAGGGTTTGTCATTCTTCTGAAGTGGGACAGCACAAAGGACTTAATGGCCCCAGAAGGTCTGTAGTAATTTAGTCCTGGGATCCTGTTCTTTTTGGGGACTCAGAGAATAGTGGAGTACTTGAAGTAAGCAGGTACATGGCATAGTGAAGTGTTAAATATGTCTGTAAACTGATGAGATGCTGATGCAAGACGTGACAGCCTCTGTGCACTTAGCCAGACAATTTGTGGCCTAAAAGGGTCCCGGTTAGCAGACTCTAAGCACACTTTTAAATCTTCCACATAAGTGGAAAGTTTCACTTGTCCACTTTTGTGATTTTCTCTTCACATGTGAGTAAAAAGGTCTTCATCATTGCTGTCAGAGGCTCCAGCTCCATGGCCACCACAGAACCAGATTTTCTCACCAGATCATTAAGTCCTCTCACACAGATCAGCATTGAAGAAATTGCTGGACATTCAAGACTGAAACAACAAAGGGTGAAGTTTGCTGCAGATGCTGAATAAATTCATACCCCATAATAAATAGAGCTTTGCCCTTTTTTTCTATAGTGGATTATTTTCTGTGGTCCTTTTTAGTCTGGGTCCTTAGGAAGGCATGATATTCTCCACATTGAAAGTACTTTCGCAATCACAGAAAAATGTTAAAGAGATGTTCAAGTAGCTCTCCCAGTTCCACGGCACTTAGGTCTTGAGCATTGTTGGACACACATCCTGGGGTGCAGTCTCTTCAGCACCCCTCTGACGGTGATAATAGGGAATATGGGTGGGTGCAAAGTTGTTGATCGTCATCGGTGGATGAAGGAGGAGGTTATGGGATGGTAGGTGCAGAGGCATGCAGCACAAGAGGGTGGAACGTCCAGTCTGCAGCGTCATTGTTCTTCATACAATCCGTCAGAGTTTTCATGCCATGTCAGACCTCTGTCAAGTTATATTTCTGCAGTTCCTGTTCCACATAATTTCTTTGCCTCTTTGTTTTGTACACCATTAAACTTTGCTTGGGAGCAATCCTTAAACTCCCTCCCATTTATAATAAAATAAGTTCTTTCAATTCATTAATTTATTTAATTTCATCTGACTTTATCAAAAAGTCAGTTCCATATTTAAAAAAAAGAACCAAGTAGAAAAAATGTAAAAAGTTACAAATTTAAAAACAGCTAAAATGCCAATTGTTCCACATTGGCCGTCTGTCATTATAAGATGATGTTTATCACTGGTTATCCAAGGCTCATTATTGGGAAAACATTGTACAATCTTTGTGGGAACAACAATGTCCCTGCAGAAGTTTAGATAGTTATGTAGTCTGTGAGATCCTTTATGCAATCCACGTGCACGTGGGTCCTGCAGCATACTGTGGTTTGTAGGGTCATTTCAGTCTCACTTCAGAGCTGGACCATATCTTCAATTTAGCTTATCTTCAACTAGGCAGAAATTAAGAAAATACAGTCCCCCTCTCATATTGCATTCTTAATTCAAATACTGCACACAATGTCAGTTGACACAAAAATGGTTCTATAGGCCATTGGACAATCTGAGACGGGCCTATTGAATAGTTTTAAAATGGATTTTTCTTGTGTTAAAACCCCACACAGAACATGAAAATGGTCTTCAACAGCCATGTTTAATGGTCCATATTACACATATTAACTACATAAGAATAAGTGAATGAAAAGAAAACTATGCATGTCAAAGGGAAATCAATGAATATAAGTCCTTTTCCTCTGCTTTTACTTTCATGGTAGAAAAAACTAAAATCCTTTGAAAAAAATCCCATTCTTCGCATATATAAAGTGCAAAGGTTAAGACCAAATATTCACAATTTATTAGCCTTAATCCCATAAATCACAGGGAAAAAGCCTGGCAGACTATTTGCTGCTCCTCTAGACTGCTGCTCTTACATTATGCATTAAAAGGATTTCTTTGCATGGTACAACACAGCATATTGTGGCTGTGCAATATGTAGTAAGCAGTCATCCAAGGAGCACTATGTCTGTGAGGTCAAGGGCCTGAATACATTAAGCAAAGCTCTCAGGGTTTGTAAAGCTGACTGAAGGATACTATCATTGCAGGCATTTTGCATGCACATAGATATTTTCAGACAGGAGACATTTCACCTGATTTTCAAATGGCCAGTAAGGCATGGCGACAAACAGCAATGGAGCCAAGCCACGGCTGTGGCTGTCCTTGTCCTCTCACCATAGCTAGCTGTCAGGGCCATTAATGTGGCAGGAACATGATCTGAGCAATGCACTTGGATTGCTGTCCCAAGTCCACACTCTGCTCTCCTTGTGTCTGTCTTATCGATTATCCCCTTTACGACACGGCTTGTCGCTGTGAATTTCCCTGCTATTTGCCGCCGCCAGCTAGGAACCCCTTTTCACACACACAAATATGCACACCCACTGTCAACTATACACCTAAACTCTGCTGCTAAATAACACAAACAAGATGACAACACTCCCCTATGGCACACAAAGCGTTCTTTCCTATATTGGAAGGTTTTATTTTTAGGCAACAAATTGATGCCCCTGAGAAGAATTAATGGGCGTTTGTGGCTTTGTGGCTGCTGATCATGGGTCAGATCGTCAGAGGGATTTGAAGTCCAGTGCAAAAAGGGTCACCTGTTTGTGTGGTTCTCTCAGTCGCTAACCATACTTGGCTGCAGGTGCTTTAACAGACCTGATTAAACATGACAGGCTCAGACAGTGGCTCTGCATGTGTGGCCAGCACCATGCCTGCATACGCTGCGCTGCCCAGCTTCCCATGGCACTAGGGATGCAAAAGCAATAACCATGGAGCTGAGACAAATCCTACTAAGTGGCATTCTGAGCCCTTTGGCTTTGAAATAATTGCTACGGAGAGAAAGTAAATATAAAAGAATGCTTACGTTGATGCCCTGCGGACTGTACATTTGGTTGGCTGTGAGTCCTTCACTGTATCCGCCTGTCTGACTGATAACATGGCGAAGGGTATCCACCTGAAACATTAAGAAATAGCAGACAAAGCAAGTTCAAAGTCAATGTAAGTAAAGGCACAAAATAATAGAGGAAAGGATGAATAAACAAGAGAGGCAACAAGAGTACATTGATGTATTATGTCCTTGGACATAACCAAGTCCAATTAAAATGGAAAATGAAATCCAGGATGAGAAGGAGTTAGCTTTTTGTCTGGCAACCAACAAAACAAAAACAATACAAATGTGATGTTTTCTTATAGAAATAATATGCATTACCCTCACAGAGAAGTATAGATTTAACAAAACAAAACAACATAAATTTTAACAAAACATACATAAAAGATTTATCAGTTCTATAAATATGCAATTAATTTGTGGTTTTAGTTATACTACTAGTACTATACGGCTTGTTTTTTGGTTTATTAAATTGTTATTAATGTTATTTACATACAAGCAATTATGGCCCCAGCAGTGACAAAAAATGATAATTTTGTAGGCCTTCTTTTATTGTTTAGTATTTTGAAATGTGAAGACTAAAATGTTGTCGAGTGATCCTACTTTTGGAAAGCATTAATATATGTTGAAGCATATCAGCTCTCTGAGCTGATTCACGATAACATCCAGCAAAATTAATTTAAAAAAAAAAACATAAGAGGCTAAACCAGAGCCAAGAAATCTTTACCAGCATCATATAAAGGTAAGAAGAGTAAAAACAACTAATACAAAGCATATGTATCCATGACAAATACTTTATATGACAGCAATCGAAATATTGATTCTTGCAGCTGCATGTCACAGTTTCTTTTGGAAGCAATTCTGTTTCAATATTTCATTGCAACAGAAAATAATTGTCACAAATAAATAAAGATATTCCTATTGAAGAATTTGGACTGCCTTACATTAGCCTCTTTTCTACTTGAAGCCCTACCTGCGACTGCACGTTTGCTCCCACCTGAGCCCCTTGGTATGAGTCCCCGTTGAGTGACTGCACGCTCATGAACAAGTCCCCGGAGTTTGACATATTAAAAGAGCCAGCAGAACCTGAAAGGAAACATGGAGCAGTGGAATCACACAAAGAGAGATGGCAGTGCAAGCAACTCAGGTTTTGCAGGCAACAGTCCAGAGAAGCAGCATGCAGATGTCAGCTAGCAGTCATGGGAATTGAGCCAAGAGGAACAACATGGGAACATTAAAAGCTGTATGTTGCATCTAGTCATTTCGTTTATATCAGGAAAACAAGAGCTGAAAGAGTTGTCCAATTTCATTATCTTTTTATATTACATGTATAACACTGTGAGTGACAGAATTTCTTCCCTTGCTTTCCAAAGCGCTACCAAGCACTTATTTCACCCTGCTTCTGCTCGGTAATTTAAAAAAAGGGGGTTTTCTGATTCAAAGTAGGACAGCACACAACATTTTTTACAAATATCAGGGATTATGTTTTTACACTGAAATTGCCATTAATATTACACGGATTAGAAATAACACTATGTTAAACTGTTTCAATATTTCAGCATAACCTCAGAACAGCTTCTCTTTCACTGCTGCAAATCATAATGTACATCAAAGCAATAGAAACTTTTGCCTATTCAAGAATTTTAAAAAGTTGTGAAAACAGGTAGAAAAGGACACTAAAATGAGAGGAGTTTACTATTCTATTTTCTAAATCTTCCAAAATTCTCAATAGTTTATGCTAATTCCAAACCTGTACAGCAGTAAAAGGGCACACTGAGGTTATGTTTCCCACCTCATCTTACTTTAAAAACAACTTTTTAGAATATGTGGTACAGAGTGGTACTTTCATTATTTGCACTCTATCAATACAGTGTTTTTTTGGGGTAAACTAAAGTTATGCACAGGTAGGCAGATCTTGAGCATCAGTTTACTTTTAAGAAAACTACTCAAATTTGTGTGTTCATGTTAACTCAAATAAATTTATATTATAGTTCCATGGAAATGTAATTTAATATATTCCTTGGATTTGTCTTCTTTTATTAGTAAACAGAAAATAAAATACTTTCATTTTTATCCTTCTATATAATTATAGATCGATTATAACTTATTAAGTAAGGATACGTAGGCCTACTTGATGAAGCCAGTTTGGTTAATCGAGACAGAGGCAAAAGCAGAGCAGGAATATGAAGAATAGGCATAGGGCTCAGGCTGGCTTAACTCTGGCTAAACAGCTTACTCTTGAAGTAGCTGTTTTTGACAAGGGGAAATGTTGATGCACCCGGTGCATCACCAGAGCGAGTTCTTTTTGCAAGAACTGCCTTAGGGATGACAAATCAGCAAAGACTTTTGGCTGCAGTAATGTCTAGCACTAGTTTAACAGTTGAGCAGAGCCAGGGGCTTCCTGTCTCACCTGCAGAGTTTGGAGTGGCGGGTGAATTTGCTTGGCTTCCGTGTGCGGATGCATTAGCCGCATTCACAGCAGTTCTCGCTGCATACATGTTGGCTTCTTCTTGGAACTTACCAATGTTTTTCTTGTATCTGATTCTTTTATTCCCAAACCAGTTGGAAACCTTAGCAGAAAACAAAACAGTACAGGTTATTCCTCAAGACATAATCACGCAGAGGCTCTCTGAATAATAATGCCTGTGCTTAGCTTTCATATCCTTTAATGGTAACTTCGATGCTGAACTAAGATAAGTAGGAGCTGCATGGGCGGGTGCTGTGAATTTGCATTAGTGCGAAAATAGAATGATTGCCAATAATGGTCTTATTATGTATGCCAACATGACTGCAGCAATCATAAGAACTCATGCACACATCAATCAGTCAACATAAGATAATACCATTACAGCTAATGGACTCCAAAAAGAAGCCAGGAGGATAATCCCAGCACTAATGATAAACAAACATTGAAATGAAGATCAAATCCTGCAAAATTTCCAATGCAAAGAGAAGCAAATATATAGCTTTATTATAGCAATAAAAAACAAACTTGTCATTCAACAAATCATTCAGCTACTGAGCAGCTTTCACAATCAGGCCCAGCTGTATATTACATAGTATAAGTTAATGATCTAAAATAAAGAAACAATCCACTCCCAGATGACTCATTCACAACTCAAACTGCTATTTACCTTAGCATTGTCATTGCATTCCTTTTATAAATCCTCTCAGGATTAAAACAGCCAGAGCGCTGCAGGAAAAATAACCTTCTTAAATATTTTTCTTTATTCATTTTATAAGCCAGGATCTTAACTTTCTTTAATTACTTAAGGACTTCCAGCAAGATTTATAGTATATCAACAAATGCCTGAAAATATTCCAGCATCATCATTATCATTATTATTAAACATATTACATACATACATGCAGGTGGAGAAACGGGTAGGCTGTCCGGCCAGAAGAAAAAATAATTGTAATAAAATCTGAGTTTATGATTTCAACCATAGTATTAACCTTTTATTGAATTGATTTTAAGATATCGTGCATGTATCAACCCAAAGCTTTAGCCTTTTAGTTTAACTTAAGGTAAAAGGACAAACTTGATACTATTACTTTGATCTAAAAGTTTTGACAAGGGGAGGTTCTTGTCTGTATTCTTTCTTTCAGGTAGTCTTCACTTTCTTTAAAAAATAAGTAGCTGTGATTCAAATGCTTTTGCAACCAGTTAGCATCTGTTGAGTTTGTGTGTAGAAAAGGAATTTGTTTATCAATTATTTTTACTTATATGTCAAAAGCAGTTATGCGCTTTCCCTGACGTTTTTCAAGAAGAACAAAGTAACCAGCCAAAACTAATTTTGCCTGGTTTAATATAAAACTCACAATGAAAACTCACAATGAGGCATAATTACAATTTTTGGTTCTCTTATGTCAATAAAAGTTACGGATTAAACAACAATGGAGCTGTTAAATGACGATATGAAAAATTATCCTTGTCTCATGTCAAGATTGTATGAGGTGGCAAGGAACTGAGAGGTACCTGGGCCACAGTAATGGCACACTTCTTTGCCAGCTCTTCTTTAGCCTCCTCACTAGGGTATGGGTTACTGAGGTGTGAGTAGAAGTATTCATTCAGGATCTCTGTTGCTTGTTTGTTGAAGTTTCGTCTCTTCCGTCTGCAAATAGAGCATCCGATTAAAACAGGATAAAATACTGGCTATGATTGTGAAACCATCATCGTGTGAAATGCTGTCCAACAATCAATAGATGTTTCTTTTCAGAGTCATCCATGTCAATTACTTTACTGTTGCCTCAGCAAACTCTCATGAACGTGGGCTATCACCTTGCTTTTTTTAATTACTTTTAAAAAATGGATATACTTGAAACTATATGTGCAGTTTGTCGGCACAGGATTTGGCAGGATTAAAAAAGAAGCATTAAAATGGGTCTTAAAAATAAAGTTAATGTGTTTTATTATATTTATAAAGGTTTAGCAGTAGTATTACTATATGATCAAAATAGATATATTTTTATGATATATAAAAATATATAATAATTATATAATTATTATATATTATATTATATAATTCAACCATTTCCTGCTCCTACCAGGTCAAGACTGTATGTGTCCCATCTGAAGAGGGTTTTACATAAGCTGAAAAGGGAACCCTATAAAATCTCAGTATGAATCCAAGATTAAGCAGACTTTTTTCTAAAATTTATGTCACCCAAATCTCAAATGAGAATATTTAAAATATGTAAATGTACACAGCATGTCCTCCAGCAGCCAGTATATTAATCAGCATCACCAAGCAAACCGGTGCTTTGAACCAGTCAAAGCTTTCGTCTTCGCCTCCTGTCCCTTCCTTGCTGTACCACGACATCCATTTGCAAGAGAATAGATAACAAGCTTTGTAGAGGAGTGCATGCCTCATTTAAATGTTATGCTTTCATCCCCGACTTTAAGGGAGATTTATCTTTTGAGAAATGTATGCAAATCCAAAGCATGCATCGAAGAGAAAAAGCGATTACATTAAAAAAAGGAAACAGTTAGTGTTATGGAGTATACAGGGAGCTCATATTGACTAATAGTGCAGGATAGCTGTTCCAGAATGTATCTTTACATGCAAACTCGGCTGGTATGTGAGCTGCACAGCAAAAATAGCATATGTTATAGTGTGTTTATGGTGTGATAGGTCTCCTACACCAGCCATTTATATGGATATGAAGCTGAGGAAGAAACACACTATGAGGTGGTGGTAATGCTCCTCAACTACTGTAGGTTTTTATGCAATTTGAATTTGTGTCAGTTCTTACCAAACACACACATAGGAGACAGACATACACACCTGGCATCCAGGAAGCGTGAGCGTAGGATCATGACTGCCTCACACGTGCTCTGTTTTAGCTGCATCTGGATGGAGCTGAACTTGCGGTGGATAATGCCCACCATGCGCTCGATCTCTTTGGGTGAAATGGGCCGTGTGCGCGATTGCTCCCGCAGCAGGTTCATCACATGGGTGGTGAACTCGTTGCAGGCCTGTTGAGGATGAAACATGGGAATTTGTGAAAGAGCACACATCTTTGACCATGTCAAACTGACCACACAAAAAGAACTTTTTTTTTTACATGGTATATAAAAGTAGAAACCACCTCTTTCTGAGCAAACCTTTCCACAACGCAAAGAAGGAAAATAAATACTGACATTTTTCATATCTAACGGGAATTCTGATGAAAATATGCAAGGAGAAACCAAGAACAATTGCTCCCCATTCACTCAAATGTTTATGGCAAAGCCGAACCTGTGAATCACATATGCCGCAACTTTTCATCTATGGCCCCGTCATGGTACCAGGCATTAATCAAATATGATATTGAACTCTGTTTGAGACAGTCTCATCTTTTTCTTCCTCTTTCTCTGTGTACCAGCCTTGCTGAGAGGTCACAATGGTATCTGGCAGGATCTCTGAGCTGGTAAAAATTCTTGTTGAAACACAGATGAGAGAAAATGGGGACCTTGCTGACACAGCGGACTTCAAGGATTACTCTTTCCAATGTGGCCACATTCGTTAGTGATGATTTTCTCATCAAAGAGTTCTCCAGGGATGGAAAAGTCATATCACCACTGAGAAAAGTGCTTTCAGCTTGTAAATCTCCAATGTTGAAACGCGTGTCTCTCCTCATAATCAGTTCCACATGATGTTAAAAAACAAGTCGGAGGTGTTCCATTTTTTGGCGTTGGCCAATCTGCAGGAGACAAAGGTACAGGGCGCACTGCATCTTCCACATCTCAGAGATGGATGCTCCCTCTAGCTTTTTCTTCGGCTTGAAGAAGAAGAAGCACGGTCAGAGGAAGGTAATCGACTCTTGACACAGGGCAGGAACTCACTGAGATTGATCAAATACGAGCTGTGGATTTTTATTCATCCCTCTATGCGAGTGAGTATGAGGAGAATGGTGCACTGTTGGAGGAGTTCTCTGATCAGCTACCCCGGGTCTCTGCGGACACTATGCCACAGCTGGATCAGCCATTACAAATGGTGGAGTTACATGCTGCACTGCAGAGCATGCAGAGAGGCAGAGTTCAAAAGCCTTCTGAACTAGTTTAGTACATGATGTTTGAGAGTTTGGGTTCTCTGGCTTTGGGTTCTTTATATGGGACCTACAGCAGACCTAATTGACCAGCAACATTTTTGGACATCTGAGTAACTTGAGCCTGCATGCTGCTTTTCAATGTTTGTATTCTTACTTAATGAGTTAATGAGTTTCCTCCTTTTCACCAAAGTGTGTTTAAGTCACGGGTCCTTTTTCAACATGTTTCAATTAAAAGTTTTACCTCCCTGCTCTGGCTGCTAAAAGAGCCACTCGTTCATGGAGCCGGGCTGACCATTACCTGGACTGAGGACAGAATGATGTATGAAAAAAAACACCTGTGTGCAAGAAACTGGTGGACATTGTGGGACCAGCCGCTGATTGACTTGCAGGATGTGAGCTCTCCAGGCGACGAAGAGCACTTTGGATTCAGAGGCTCTCTGAGAGTGACAGAGGCCTCCTCGTGAACTATGGCCAAGGGGTGGAACCTGAACGAGTTTGGTGAGTACAACGGACTTCTTCTCAAGCACCCCAAGAGTCTCATCTTATATAAAGATAAGAAAGAAAACTGTGTGGAAATACTGCCCACTGCATGGGCTAGAGGGTGGTGAGTTTGTTCTAAGCCTCCTTCAAGAAAAAAACCTTTTAGAAATTTGAATAGTGAAATCACTTCAAATGCTTTTTATCTCTGCTCTTAATCCTGTAGTTTTTTGTCTGATCTGTAAGACAGATCACACTTTTAGTGAGTGTGACAGACTTACAGGGCTCTTCACTCTCAACACATGTTTTTACTTATTTTAACATAGATTTTAGAATAACAACTTTCTATTTATGGTACAGGGTACATGGAAGCCAACCAAAGAAGGGCTATACTTCGAAATTATATTACTGGTGACGCCGAGCTGCGTATTTATTTATCCTGGAAGAACAAAGTACAGAACAAAGCAGGTCAGGAGGCAACCTCACGGTGGTGTTGCAGCGTTAGGTGCAGACTAAGGCTAGAATTCAGCTTTTAGAAGTTCACAGATGATTTAGAAAGTTTTAAAAGCATCTGGTCTAAGAAAAATATTCTTTGTCCTTGTTTGTTTGTACAACAAACTGCATTTTGCACATTTTCTTCAAAATTGACCAAATTATGGCCCCGAACAATAAAAAAACCCTTGAATAACCCTCTACTGCTTTTGGACCAATACTATTTATTTGTTTCTAGTATTGTAGATTAATGTCATTAATAAGAATATACTCCTACTTTATCCAAGATAGCTTCGACAAGCTGAAATTTACGATTATAACACATCATATTATTATCGTGTCTGAAACCAGGTGTCAGGTATTCACGCCTAGCTGTCTCCATCATTTTTACCTGCTCGTACTTCTCCAGCTCGGTGTGGTAGATCTGTCTGATCTGGGACAGTTTAGCCCTGTAGTCGGAGTGCTCGGCCGAGTTGTCAGCACCAGCCCCGCCTGAGGCGGCTGCCGCAGCTGCCGCAGCCGCAGAGCCCCCGCCTTTCTCTGGACCGGACACACCCTCTGCCAGCAGCATGTTGTCTAGGCGCATGAGCTGGGGGTCCGGAGGCTCCTCCTCCTGGGCGCCGCGGATGCTCAGCACTGTCATGACAGGAGAAGATCAGAGGTCAGTCACAAAGGTTGCACCTGCAGCTGGGTAAGGCACCCATCTGCCAAGACGCCCTGTCGCGCAGCTGACACTGCTGTGCACCCAAACACATACACACACTCTGGATCAGTGTGCTGAGAAACAAAGAAAGACATCTAAATAGATGGATGGTAAAGGTAGCAGGCAGGTAAGAAGATGGACGAATTCTTAAACAGTATTACAACTGAAAGAGTGTTACAGAAGTCCTAAAAAATGCCACATAAATCAAAAAGATGTGATTATTTTCTTAATCAAGTGATGGATTGGAAAAACATCTGTTCTAAGAGGCATAAATTATTTACTATCGCTTTAGTTTGCATGATTGCAAATTTAACATTTATTATCTTGACTGGGATTTTTGGAAAATGTGATAAAAACCATGGTGGATATTCTTAAATTGAAATCAATTTCATTCATCAAAAGCATAATTGACAAGAAATTAAGAGTGAAAAAGTAAAACAAGCATTGTAATTGCAATTCCATCACCAATTAGATTCCACTACCTTAGCCCTTATTAGGGCTAATGTAGTGACATCTTTTGATCTATTATGTGGTATCAATGCAGCTATCGGGGTGTGTGTTGTATCACGCAATATATTGGAGGTAAATCCCTAATTTACATTTGCTAATGTAGTAATTGCAGTTAATTTGCAGTTCTTTACCACATTCAGTTTCTGAGATAAAAACACCTTCCACTATCTGGGATTCATCCATTTCAATTTCATAGGCTTTCTCTAGTATGGAACATGGAGCTTTGTGGTTTCAAGTTCATTTAAAAAAAGATACTACACAGCAGCTGGGGCCTCGGCCACAAGCTCTACTGTAGCACTTTACTTGAAATGAGCTCAAGTTGACTCATATTAAAGAATGTTATAGGTCAACCAATATTCACAAAATATGGTATAATTGAAACAGTATATACAAATGCGGGAAATCATTTCACTTTAAGTGTCACTGACTGGTAAACTCACAAGAAAAAAAAACTAAAGCGAAAGAATATAGTTGGTCAAAATGATTAAAAGGATACCGTATTCTAGCTTTGTCTCTCCTCATTTATCTTACAGCATAAATCTCCTGCAGCCAACCAGTTTATGTAAAATTGATTAACAGTATTTAAACCTCATAATCATGATTAGCAAAGTCACAGTAAATTAAGCCACATGTGGAGCAGCTGAAGGCTAATAAGTGGCAGCTGAAATGCTATGAAGGCCACTAAGGTATTCCTGAAACATCTGAAAGAAAAAGCTTCCATTATTAGATTTGCTTAATCATATCAGCAGGCCAACATTTTGTCAGCATTTTTTTACACCTAATTCTAAACTGTTGTTGAAGCACTGTAGCATGTTCAACTGAAGCAGGTGAAACCATAGAAAAGTGTAACTTTCCCATACTATGCTATCTTTAGATCATTACATTGCAAATGGTTGCATTAAATGTGAATAAAGAAAAGGTAATGGTCAGTTTTATTAGCTATTTTTTGCCTTTCTGAAGAAATAACTAGTAGTTAAGAAAGCCTTAATATTGAGTCAGCCATGTAATCTATATTGTACAACTATAAGAAATATGAATAAAAAAGAGGATAATCAACATTATCAGAAATCTATTAGAAGCAGCTAGATTTAACTGGATTAATAGCAAACTTTGCTGGACTCAGTCAGTATTCAGTCACGTAGTAAGTTTATTTCACATTTCATAATAAAAGTGTAAATTAATTAAAAAAAACACTTGATGTTTGATCAGATTATTAAAATTATTTTTTTTTCTCATTTTGAACCCTAAACCATACTTCAAAGGGAGGAGACAAAGTAACCCCCCCCCCAAAAAAAAAAACACAAACAAAACACAGTTTAATAAATATCTCATTCCAAAATGGATATGTGAGAATTAAAGAGGCTGAATCTCCCTGTGGATCCTCCCCCCCAAAAAAAATCCTCTTTTGCACTTTTGTTTTTTCTACAAAGTAAATGATGCAGGAAGACAGCAAGGAAACCACTTCTGTCACGGTAGCACAGTAGGATGGCTGTGTCTCTTAGCCAAATGTTTCTCTTGTGCGTCCTAAAAACTTTTCTCCATGCACACCAGCCTCTTCCTGTTACAACTCCAAATTAATTATGCACTTTAATGAGCTAAATAATTAATGGGGCTCTTACATGGCAGTTTAAGGAAACAGCACAGAGAGAACAGCATTGAGCTTCAGAATCTGGGCTCTCATTAAAGCATCACCCAACACCTTTGGCACCAGAAATATTTAGCTGGAGGATTAATAGAATTCAGTATTTTACATAACATATCATAGTAGAGGTGATTGAGCTTGGATCCTCAACAATACAGAGATAATTGCCTACTTGGGCACAACATTATCTAATCACAACTGCAGGCTTTAATAAAATAAAAAAGGATATCTAATAGTAATTAAAAAGAGTTAGCTTGTGATTGTTCAGCACAGTTGGGAATAGTAATATCTGCAATGACATAACCTAGAGATTTTTGCTGTAGCCATTATTTAGTAATATAATTAAATTTTCTATTCACCCTAGTTTTGTGATGCGAGATACTTGTTATCCTGAAATAGTTCTGCATTGTAAATGCACATAAAAGAGGAATTTTATATGCATTTGGCTGGTGACGCTTAGAGTATTGCATTTTGATTGGTTGTTAGGTTGAGATTTTGTCAATTAAAAATACAATAAATATTCAACAGTAATGCTTGTGCGAATCAAAGTCAAGATGCTGAAAACCGTTACTATGGAAGCCTCCAAAAGTGGCAGGAAAAGGAAATCATTAATATATCACACTTGTTCAAAAGAGGAAAATGAAAAGAAGGGAAATAAAAAAAAAGTACTTCAGTTGTTCAAGCAAGACTAACTTTATATTCCTGCCTGATCAAATTTCCGTCTTCTTTCTATTTCTAATCTTGATTTGCATGATGTGGGATGTTTGAGTATTTAAAAAGATCCTATAAAAGTCAGAACATGTGTGCAGCTCACATATATGAAGCTCATAGGAAAGCCCAGATTTGTTAACCAGAATCCTAATAACACTTAAATGTAAACAACTTTTATCTATCAAGAAGAAGTCTACATTTCATGTGTGACATGAACTAATGAGTCAGGGGTTCACCAGTATGGTTTATAAACTTTAAAAAAAAAGTTTTCACATTCTGTCCACAGAGGGATCCTTGGGAAATTATCTGTGTTTACATACAAGCTCCTGTCAGGGCTGACTGCTTCTGATGCTCGGAGGAAACAATAAAGGGTTTAATGCAGCCAGATTACGTCATATTGCACTGCACGGCTTGGTCCACGAATGGATTAATTCTTTTGTTGCTATATTTGAGAAGACTGAAAAAAACTGAAGGCATAGTAACTCATACAGTAATATTTCTCATTGAATAATTTACCTCTGTGTCTCGGTGATGCTGCATATTAGCATAATTCCCGTATTAGAAATTACTGTGAAGAGTCTTTAGATGGCCTGTAATGGCCAAAGTGGTAATGCAGGCAGGCGTTTAGATGGAATATTGTCTTTGCACGGCCCTGCAGCTCTAGACACAAAGCCCAAGAGATGCAGCTACTGTTAAACAATTGAACACCCTATTGTGGTCAGGATGGATATCAAGCCGGTTTAGTGCTGATGACTAAGTGGCTCACTATGTGGGTCCTATGCGGGTCAGGGAGCACATGCAAATGTAGGTCACAAGAAAGTCCTCTTGTCAATCAACAGAGAACAAAAAAAAGGGGGGGGGGGTAATGTGAAAGAAAGAACGGCCGTCTTTATAACTATAAGATCAAGCCTGCTGCTCGTCATAAGGACAGATCAGCTCAATTTAGCACAACAGCTCTCCTTTCTCTACTTATGATAGTGAGGTTAATCTGAGCAAACAAACACACGAAAACAATATGTTTCTGTTGCAAAGTTGATCCAGCACCTGCTCTGTTTCCGTATCTCTGGGTCATGTTTCACTACAGCACCTACAAAAGCCGCAGTCTCTGTCCTGACCTTTTGTAGGGCTCGACTGAACCCAATACTTTTCTTAATTTAGCAGAGAACCAAGTCACACTTAAACAAGATCCCTCCAGCATATTCCATCCATCCATTTTCTTCACCCGCTGTGTTCTTGTAGAGTTGTGATGGGGCTGAAGTCTATCCCAGCTGTCAGATTACCAGTACATCACTGGGCTACACAGGGAGAAACGAGACATAAAACCATGCGCACCTAAGGGCAATTTACCCAATTAGCCTCACATGGATGTTAGATGCACCCAGAGGGGAGCCCATGCATACACGGGGAAACCATGCAAACTCCATACTGCCCTCAACTGGGATTCAAACTGGGAACCCTCTTGCTTTGAAGTTCTAACCACCACGTCACCATCAGATTTTAAGAATTAAATTCTTGTCACAAAACAATTTTTCCATTTCAGGTCCATAAAAAGGGAAACACTTCATCTTCTCTTGCACTTTTTTGCCAATTATGATCAACTACAGTGGCCGCTCATGGCCGGCTTAGGTGTAGCACTAAGTACTTTCTGAATAATGTTATGGTTAGGTTTATGCCCAAGTCTGCCTTTATTTACCCCTAAGTGTAGCAAGCAATATGATGATGAAAACAGAAGAACGGGCTGTGAGAAATACAGAATAAAGGATAACAAGAGATCTTCTTAAAGCTGCTACAAAATTTATAGATGTAATAATTTTCTCTTGATGTCAAAATAAAGCTCTCCTTAATCAATCAACACAGAGACATAAAGATGTGGATGTTTTAAAAAAGTACAGCAATGGCATCCTTCCTTTTTTTTTAGTCTGGCAAACATTTTTCTAATTAGATAAATATGCTTTCAAACTGTAGCTTTTAAATAATCTTTAAATGAACAATTGGCCGATTTACTGTACTACAACTAATTTTATTCTAATTGGCTATTGTATCTCTGCAGTGCCTAGATATGACATGTGTTGATTTG